CAAAGATGCACAGAATGACATGCAAGCATGCAAATGGCATACACAATGCTATGAACTAATCAATGGCATACTCAATGCACATGGATACTAAATGGCATACACAATGCACATGTGAAGCTAACATACATGATGAGATGAACAAAACACACACAATGCAATGATCAATCATGCGACAACATGAACTAGATGGCATACACAACACAAGATGGACTTAAACCAAAGTGGATGGGCCTCGGCCAAACCCAAATTAGTGGCCAATATGATGAAAATGAGGCAACAAGGTACATGCAAACATGCACAAATACAAGGGACTAAACCTAAGCAACAAAGTACAACTCTACCAAAGCATGACAAGGATGAAATATGGCATACAATGACACATGTTTCAGCTCTGAAATGACATCCAAGATGGTCCTGAATCATGCAAACAACTCACTCGATGCATGTTGGATGGCACAATTACCGAAGCTAGTGAAGTGCATTACACTAGAAGCATGCAAAGCGATGCCCAAATGACCAAACCAACCCCAAACAGCCCCTATCTAGACCCAAAACAGTGGCAAAGTGGACTAAAATGATGACTTGCAATGTACAAAAATGAAGCTCATGTAATAGCCCAAAAATGAGACATACAAGCGCAACTTTCAAACGCATTTAAAGAGTGGGAAACATGGGAATATGACACAAGTATAAGCTCTGAAATAACATGTTCAATGTTGCCAAAACATGAAGACAACTCAAGTTAAGCATGCAAGAGGCATCAAAACTCGAAGCTAGGCAATGGTATTACACTACAAGCATGCATGGAAAGCATCATTCGACCATGGGACCTCAAAACAAAGCTAAAGCAACCCAAATCATGAATAAAAGCAGTTTAGAACATGGCCAAAATATGCTAGAATGAAGGGCCAAAACAACATGCAATGTGAGCTAGTGAACATGGATTACACTACAAGCATATGAAGCATTCAAGAGGCCACTAAACCAACAAAAGTTAGAGACATGACATGCCAAATTAAGCCCAAAAACCCACTGAAACATGATCAATGCATGCAAGAATGTCATGCTCCTTTGATAGGCTATAAGAGGGTTTATTCTACAAATGCAAGAGACACACCCAAGGTGACAAAACCAACTCTGGACAGAGCCTAGGCAAGCCCTAAAAGTCATTGAAAAGGGCCTAAAACAAGGCTTGGAGGTGTACAAATGAAGGCTCCTTTGATAGGCCAAAATACAAGTAAACATGATCAAAAAGAGAGAGGGTCACCCCTCTCTGATTTAGGACCTCAAAACCACATGCCAACCACTAAAAATTCGCTGGATTTCAGTGGCTAAAGGCCAAGCAAAGACTAGCTCAAAGGCCCTATGGCATGGCACAAAACAAGGCCAAATGAGGCATGCAAGAGGGTAGAAGACCCCCAACACCAAAAGGGCCTTAAACAAACATCAAAAGAACCTCAAAACAAGACTTTTTTCAGTTGATAACAAAGCTCAAATATGCATGCAAATAAGGCTAAGAGATGGATCAAAATAAAGCTTAAAAGAGGGAAAAAGTGTGTTACTCTTGAAGCTCAGCAAGACAGCAACTTCTGGACCCAAAACCCAACTCCTTAACCTCTGAAAATGGCCTCCAAGAAGCTCCAAGCAATGGCGGAAGGGTTAGGCTATGAGATGGTGTGCAAAGGTGCAAGAACAATACACTTTTTGAGCCAAGATAGAGAAATATAGAGGGAGATGTATTGTATGCCTTCAACCAAATTCTGAACCCTCACAAAGGAGGGGGAGGCTCTCTTTTATAGCCAAAAGGGACCAAAGCTTCTCAAAGAAGCTAAAAACCAAGGTTGAAGATCCTCCATACACGTGTATGGAGGATCCAGTCTGTGCCTTCCAGCTAGCACAGCTGGCAACAACTCACAGAGAAAAAACTGGGAGAGGCAGGCCAACCAGTTCAGGTGGTCGGCCGACCACTTCCCCTGGTCGACCGAGCAGTTCAAAAGGTTCAACTCAATGAAAGGTGGTCGGCAGCCCTATTTGATGGTCTCCACATTGAATGCAAGTTAGTGGTATGGTGGGAGACCAGTAAATGTGGCTCAAAGACCAAGGAGACCAACTTGCTGACAAGAAACCCGGCTGGCGGGAGAAAAGTGGTCTCCAAGGAGAAAATGTGGTCTCCCACCCTTGTACCACCTCCCAAACAATGAAAACAAGGTCCATGCCAAAAATGAACCAAGACGGATGTAAAACAAGGGTTTGGGGGGTCAAAATGTGCAGTCGGGTGCCCCGAAAACAGGCTGTTAAGCATCGAAAGTGGTGCACGACCACAAAAGTAGTCTCCAGGGCCACAGTATCCCTCTAGAGAGAGGAAGCAAGGTGTGTGCCAAAAACCGTGCCAAACGAAGAAAGTTAAGCGGTCCCGAACCGAGACGCACGGCCGACGGCTCCGAAAACCAGAAACTGGTCTTCAAATGGGAAAAGTGGCCTACGACCACGAAAAGTAGCCTACAGCCACTGAGAGATGGTCTACGAGACCTCTCCCTCCCTTCGGGAAGAGAAAACAAGACCTGGTTCGCAAATCGAGACAAAGCACAAAAGGGTCCCGAGGTCTGGGGGTAAGACTCTCAGCCGAAACTCCAAAACCTCAGAACGAGCATAACATGCACCATCACCGAGCGCTCAATCGACGACGTCTGAGTCTTAAAGTCGGTCAAAAATGGGGTGTCTACACCCTATTATAATTATTGTAAAATTTTGTACTAGCATGTGTTATTATTTTTAAAAAGCGAATTTTCCTGTTGTTACACCACATCCATTTCAATTCATTTGAACAAAATTTAACATACTTTTTTTTAATAGAAAAAATAAAAAATCATTCAACTACTTAATTTATATATACACGAGCAACCATTAAAAAATATGCACTACTATTTTAATCATTTATTGCCCAAATTCAAAAAAGTATTCATTTGAACAAAATTTAACTCTTTTTTTAAACAAAAAATATCAATAATTATTTAATTATAAAATTTATATACACAAGCAATCATTAAAAAATATGCACTGTTATTTTAATCATCCAACCATTCACTGCCCAAATTCAAAAAGACATTCATTTAAACAAAATTTAACTCTTTTTTTTTTTGAACAAAAAAATATCAAAAATCATTCAACTATGAAATATAGCTATTTAGAAAAATAATGATATAAGAAAATATAGAAAGATGGAGCGAATATATTTATGAGAAGATGGATACAAAATATCAATTGTAGACATGATGAATTAAAAGTCTATAGTGGTAATTAATGATCACTACCATTCATAATCGATCGCGATTGGTAGCTCGAGATTTTTGGCTTGAAATTGGCTCGAAAAAGTGAGAGAGAAGGAGGAGGAGGAGGAGGAGGGAGAGGCTGGAGGAGGGGCGGAGGAGGAGGAGGATGAGGGACTGGAGGGGGCCAACATATCGGGGTGGAGGCGGAGGCAGGGGCGGAGGGGGGGGGGGGGGGGAAAATAGTAATTCCCTTAGACACAGTGTTGGTGTGGTTTGATTTTAGGAGATCCAGTGAGATTCCAAAATTCGGGGGTTTGTGTGGGGAACTCCGTGTTTGGGGTTAGTGGCACATCAGTGTGTGGATTACTGAGTGTGGAGTTTATTGAGTTGCTTACCTGCTTTCTCTCTCTTTCTCTTTCTCTCTCTCTCTCTCTCCTCTTCCTCTGTTTCAGACCAGCATGACGAAGAAGAAGAAGAAAAAAAAAAAGACAGCCCAAAACGACATCGTTTTGGGCTGTCGAGCCAAAATCGAGCCACGAATTTCAAGCTACCAGTCATTTTCGCATTCATAATTGTTATAAAAAATATTATTATTGTTCTTAGATCATTTCCAGCAAAGAATATGTCAATATCATGTTCTTAGTTGCATTTTGAAATTGTTTTGGGGTTTTTGTTTAAAATATTTAAAAATTTTATTAATTTTTAAAAATATTTACAAATTAAAAAAATATTTTCTGGATTTTTTTTAAAAAAATATTTCAAATATTTTTAAAATATTTAAATGAGGTAAAAAATGAAATCTATTAGTTATGATTTCCTAAGACAACAATAGCACAAGATTGTAGTTATAGTGTTATTTTTTCTTTGAAAATCAGTACTGGTTCTGCAAAGACAGAGAAGGTAGAGACGAAACTTTGCAAAATCAAACTTCTTCAAATATATATATATAGTCAGGGTTAATCTAGTCATTTGATGAGTTAGTCCAAACTTTGGCTTAGTCTCCCAATTTATATCCTACCCGTATCTGTGAGATTGAATAATCCATTATATGTGGGATACCATATCTGAATAGATTATTAATCCATATTTTATTTTTTTAACTAAAGATCGGATTAATAATTTTATTAGACTATTAGTCCAATCTCAAGCACATGTCCGTTCAAATAAACATGGCCTAAGATTAATAATCTAATAGATTACAATCCCTTTTATCCAGTCCGTTCAAATAATATAACTTTTGGCGTAAATATCGATTTTTAATAAAATTAATATTTTTAGAATTGTCTCATCAAGATCTATCAAATAAGATATATGTTGACTATGAAAATTCTTTTTTTTTTTAAATTATTACCGTTGAAATTGAAGTAAATAGTAATAATAACATGTTACTCTGGTAATATTGTCCAAGAAAGAAAAAAAAAATATTTTACTTTATCTTTACTCAATTATATATTTTTTTCTTAGAAAGTTTATGAAAAATAATAAATTAAACTATCTTCTTCACCAAATAAGGGTATAATGGATGAGTTTTGACTTTCCCATCTCAAACCAAACAATCTAAACGAATTTGGTGGCAAATATAGGCCCGAAGATAATTGGGTAAGCCCAGTCCATACCCACAAGCCCATCACACACCTGTCCAAAGACCCGTTGCCCTTTGAACCCATCTCATCCACGTTGACTTGCACTGTTAGTGGATGATAAGGCTAGCCTCTGAACCGTCCGATGATAGATAGTCCAATCACAATCACAGCAGAGCATTCTCAGATGTAGTCGGCTGAAACACTACATCGCTGCTCCAACCCCAATCCAGTGGCATCTTCGCCAATCATATTCCGAAAGCACAGAAAGAAGCGAATATTCGAATTTAGGGCTCAAATTATTCACATTTCCTACCGTTTAATTTCCACCAGAGAACTCAAGCAAACTCGATCTCTCTCGCGAGACCGTTTGGTTCTTAATTCTTTGCTTAGGTAAGTCGCTTTTCATTTAAATTTCTCTGTATTTGGTTTATATATATACATTATTACATGAATTTATTTATCTAATTGTATGTATATATGATTGTTTGTAGAGAACCAAATCGTATTATGTTGTTTTCTATATGTACAATACAATTTGTTTTTTGAGTTGTAGTTGTTGCTGCATGAGGTTTTGTTTGATATACATGGATTTAGATCTGTGTATGTAATGATAACAGTTGTAGTAGTAAATTTGCCAATTATTCAATAAGATTTGTATATGGGCGAAATAAGTAGTTCAAAATGTTATCTCAATTGACCAATTTAGGGAAAAAAATTCCTTTTTTTTTTTTTTTTACTTTTCTTTTTTTTTTTTTTTTCTTTCTCTTTTTTTTTTTTTTTTTTTTTTTTTTT